TAGTTTCCGTTTCTCACGGTCCCTCCTAATCTGCATGCCCAAAATAAAATTTGCAAGCCCCAAGTCTTTCATTTCAAACTTTTTGGCCAACAAACTCTTCACGGAATTCACCATCTTCACACTATTCCCCGATCAATAACATATCATCCACATATAGCGTGAGAATGACAAACTGATCGCCCGTTCTCTTCACATAAACGCAATGGTCAGAATTTGAATGCACATAATTAAGCTGGAGCATGTACGTGTCAAACTTCTGGTACCACATCTTTGGTGACTGCTTCAGCCCATATAAAGACTTTTTCAATTTGCACACCAAATTATTCTTTCCTCTTACTTCAAAGCCTTCTGGTTGCCTCATATATATCTCCTCCTCCAAGTCCCCATGAAGGAATGCCGTCTTTACATCCATCTGTTCTACCTCAAGATCATATGCAGCTGCTATAGACAGAACAAATCGTATCGAGGTCAACTTCGCCACGGGAGAGAAAATCTCGTCATAGTCAACTCCCTCAATCTGAGAGTACCCCTTGGCTACAAGCCTAGCCTTGTACTTCTCTACAGTTCCATCCGGTTTCAGCTTTCGCTTGAACACCCATTTACACCCAATTGCCTTTCTATCCTTAGGCAATTTACACAAGCTCCATGTTTCATTTTTATCAAGCGATTGCATCTCATCTATCATTGCGAGATCCCACCGATTCGCATCATCCATAGATCTCGCCTCTTTTACAGAACTAGGATCATCTTCGGTAATGCTCAAAGCATGAAACGTACTCAAAGCACTAAGTGAGTATCGAAGTGGTACCTTTCTTTCCCGCGTCGATCTCCTGAGAGTCGGCATGCTATCTGTATCCGGGTCTTCATCTTAATCTGCATCCTCGACTTCATTAACCGAGTCCCCTTGCTCCGATTCAGAATCAGACTCTACTAGTGTGCCTTGTGGAACCATCTCCACAGTTTCAGTTTTAGGACTTTCTTCAAGCACTACCACTTTCTTGGGCTCATCACCTTTCTGTGTGCCAACCTGGGGTTGTGATTCACGAAAGACAACATCCCTGTTGTATACAATGATTTTTGATTCTGAATTCCACAGCTTATAGCCCTTGACCCCTTCATTGTATTCGACAAATATGTTCTTCTCAGACTTGTTGTCAAGCTTACCCCGCTTCTCCTTGGGTACATGAACATATGCGTCACACCCGAACACCCGAACATGCGACAAATTCGGCTTCTTCCCAAACACTGCCTCATATGGTGTACGATCCTTCACTGATGAGGTCGGTGATCGGTTCTTCAAATAACTGGTTGTGGCTACAGTTTCTGCCCAAAATTTTGGCCCCAAACCTGCCCAACTCAGCATGCATCTTGCCTTTTCTATGAGTGACCGATTTAATCTTTCGGCTACCCTATTTTGTTGAGGCATATATGGAGTCGTCTTCTGCCTTGCAATACCATTATCCACACAAAATTGCTCGAACTTATCCGAACAGAATTCACCTCCGTTATCTGTACGAAGGACCTTGATTTTCCTGCCCAATTGGTTTTCAACCAAAACCTTAAATTCTCGAAATTTCTCGAATACATCTGATTTACTTTTAATAAAATAAATCCAACTATATCTCGAAAAATTATCTATGAACGATACATAGTACCTGGATCCTCCAATAGATGGAGTCAGAGTAGGTCCAAAGACATCGCTGTGAATCAGGTCGAGAACCTCAGTTGCTCTTGTACCAGTGTGTTGGAAGCTAACTCGGTTCTGTTTTCCATGGAGACAGTGTTCACAGAACCCGAAACCCACAGAGCATTTTGGAACTCCTTCTACCATCTGACTTGAAGCTAAGGTAGACAGTTCCTTTTCACCGATATGCCCTAACCTCTGATGCCACAACATGGACGTATCATGTCCATCTTCCTTGGCCTCTTCAGAAACAAACCCGCTACCAACAGTCACTGTTTCCCCGAGCAGCTTGTATAATGTCCCGTAACGGACTCCTCGTGCAATCACAATAGAACCTCGAGTCATCTTGCATGAGTCCTTATCACAACTAAAAATAACCCCCGAATCAACCATTGTACCGACCGATAACAAATTTCTACTCATCAAGGGTATGTGCATCACGTCTAGAATAGTCTTCACCGTGCCAAAACTCATCCTCAGCTTCACCCTGCCACGCCCGACAATTTGAACTGCAGTATCATCTCCGAGCATGACATCCCCACCATTATATTGCTCATATTCACAAAATCAGTGTCTATGAGGCGTCATGTGGTATGAAGCACCCGTATCGATCAACCATATATCCTTGTCTGACTGCGCCATACACGCAACAGCCAAATACATATCTCCTGCATCGACCTCCTTTTTACCCGAGGATGATTCAGCTTCTTTCTTAAAAACTGGCTTGTTTTTACAGTCCCGCTTCACATGGCCCCACTCTTGACATTTATAGCACTGTACCCTCCTCTCCCTACTCTTCGATCGCCCACGAGATTTGGATCTGGACCCTCTCTGATTCAGAGTCTTCTCTGGTGGCCTTCCCCTAGCCGCCAATGCCTCTTTACCGGAATTTCCCGATCCCTTTCTTCGTGTCTCTTCAGATAACAAGGCAGAACACACACTTTCATACGATAATTCCTTATCCCTACCACCGATCACCACAATCAGGTTATCCCATGAATCCGGCAGGGAATAGAGCAGTGTTATTGCCTTATCATCATCCTGGAACTTAACACCGATTGATACGAGTTGACTAATCAATGTGTTAAAGTTATACATATGTGCAGAAAACGAGTCGCCCTCATGCATCCGAAGATTATACAGCTTTTTCCTCAAAAACAGCTTATTAACCAACGACTTACTTTGATACAGCGACTCCAGTTTCTGCCATAGGTCCCTGGCTGTAGGTTCCCCCATCACGTTTGTCAGAATCGAGTCTGCGAGACAAAGCCGAATCAAACCCTTTGCTTTCCGATCAATCCGATTCCAGTCTTCAATCTCCTTCGGATCTGCCGGTTTGGAAGTTGAATCCCCTTCCTTCACCACTTCCTTGCCTATCACGACATCAGGTTGCGCAGCAACAGGCCTTTTCGTTTCGATTGCCGACCAAAGATCTCGATCACAAAGAAGATCCTCCATCTTCATCTTCCACAGATCAAATCGCGTCCCATCGAATTTTTCTATCTCAATTCATGATCCTCCTGACATCTCAAATAAACCCTAATTCCTTGAACAACTCCGGCTCTGATACCAATTGAAGGGACGTATCGAGAACCGAAACAGAACGATCACGCAGAAATCAGAGAAAATAGACGATGCACGAATTTACCTAGGTTCACCCTCGAATAGGGCTACGTCCTGCAAAGAGATTTCACTATATTTTCGGTTTACAGCCACTCAACTCGTTACAATGATCAGAAAAACGAGCAAAATATATATGTGCCCCAAACGGGCCCAAAACCTAAACCTATACGAAATCTCTTAATCTCGCACCATACGGGCCAGCCCAAACCCGTTGAGGTTTCGGGGGCGCTGCCCCCGAACCCCCGCATTCCGCACTCAGGGGTCACATGTCGTCGGATAACACTTCAGTTTCCCTAAACTCACGTGGGCGTACCCCGTGTGAGAAACAAGGGTCCCTGAAGTATTCGCCAACTCCAACAGGCCCCTACCTTGAGGATATTGTTCTGCTGACCTTTCCCATTCTGAGTAAATTGCCGGTCGACTCTCCCCTCTTGTGGAAGTAGTTTCTTTTTGTTACAGTACTGTAATACTAAGATGTTGCATTTGAGGTTCTATGTGCTCGTGTAGGCGCGTCTGCGAGCGTTGTTCCAGTATTATTGTTTGGGATGGATGACTATTCCTGGCAAAATCCCATGATTAGTTATTGAGGCTGCTTTATGTTTATTACTAGATTTTGATTTTGGGAATAGGTGCTCTGTAACTGCTACATGTCGGTTGGATAGCGGATTTGCCTAGGCATCATGAAAGTGTTTCTCGATTGACCACCGAGCGATTGCGAGGTATCCCCCTGAATATCATTAGATGGACAACCAAATGGTCCATCTAGCAAAATATTACAGTTTTCTTTTTTGCAGTAGAGTTTTGGGGGAGAGACTAAATGCCCTTTTTTCGTACTATTGCTGTTTTTCTATGATACACACTTCACAATACTTTGTTTTTGATTCAATTGATCAATTGAGTAACTATTCTTATAAGAATAAATTAGTTTTTAAATCCCCTGTTCTCTAGTTAGCATTTTTGTTTTAATGTGGTGTTTCTTAGGTACTTTTGAAGAACTTTTCCTTCCGGTTTACATTTTCAATTAAAACAGGACATAGCTTGGAAAAAAAGGGGCATTTAGTGAATCGATGACGGGTTCTTACCACTGAAAGGTTTTTGAAAAGGAACTAGTTTTGCAGGATTCTGGAGCAAGTCTTGAGTTAAATGATCGAAAGTGGATGCCATTCATATCCTAAGCACCTCATTGCACAGTCCTTCGCAATTTTCTCCAAAAACTTACTACTACTTACTGCTGAAGATATCAATGAGAAATGTACCGTCAGAATCGACATACGGATGTTAACAACGGTTAGAAGAGTTTATATGGGGATAGAGTCGAGTTCATGGTTGTGTCCGTAAGATGATAATACGCTACGAGGCTTATATGTTTCCAAAAATTTGGAAAATGTCAGCTTCAAAGAAATCAAGGACCAGCTGATTGTATCTTAGTACATAAATAATTGAGAAATGGAAAATGAAGAAGTCGAGAGGAACTGGAAGCACTGGAAAGAAGGAAGCAACTACCGGTCTGAGCTAATAATAATAATAATAATAATATATATATATTTCTCGTTCATGGGACACCTAAGCCATGACCTAATCGGCTCGGGCATGGAGACTAGACTTGGACTTGAGAGTGGCGCGAGGAATGACAGCATCAGGCGGCCTCTCCGACAGTGCAACGAACTGAAAGCCCTATCATCAACGTTCTCTTTCCCTCTATATAAGCGGCACCCTGCGTTTAGCCTGATTTCAGCACGGAAAGCGTTCTTCAGTTCAAATTACAAAAGCTTGAGCTTGTACTGACAATTCAATGGCGGAGGAAGTGATATTGTTGGACTTTTGGTCGAGCCTGTTCGGGATGAGGGCCAGGATTGCCCTGAGAGAGAAGGGCGTGGAGTTCAATCCGAGGGAGGAGGATCTGAGCAACAAGAGCTTCCAACTCTTGAAGATGAACCCGTTACACAATCAAATCCTTGTCCTCATCCACAATGGCAAGCCGGTTTGTGAGTCCCTCATCATGGTCCAGTACATCAACGAGACCTGGGGTTGTGAGTCTATTGAAGATATCACCACCTTATCTCTCTATATCTTTCTTGATTATTCTTGACCTTTCGTATTTCAATGACTAGTTAATGTGATTGTTTATATTTGGTCTTGACCTTTCGTGTTTCGATATCTAGTTAATATCAGATAAATATATAGTCATTTATGAGTCATATCAAGAGTCATGTATTATGCCTATATAAAGGCAAGTCTAGTCAAAGTATTTGTAAAGTGAATCAAGTCATAATAAAATAGTTTATTCCTCTCCTCTCCTTGAGTGTTTTTCCTTGAGAGTTACCAATTAAAGTCGTTCACCTTCAAGAGTTGCCGACGATAGTTACCGACGATCGAGGCTTTCACTTTCAAGTGTTACACCTCTAAAGCTCAACAGAGTCTCCTCTCCTGCCTTCGGATCCTTATGAGCGTGCCTGTGCCAGGTTCTGGGCCGACTATGTGGACAAGAAGGTAAGACAACAACGCCTTAATCTCTTGAACATTTCCTTAGTTAGTGCGCTTAACATCAAGACATGAAATGATGGTGCAGATGTACTCGGTGGGGCGAAGGGCGTGGCTGTCGACGGGGGAGGCGCAGGAGGCGGCGAAGAAGGACATCGAATGCTTGAAGGTGTTGGAGGGAGAGCTCGGGGACAAGGCTTACTTTGGCGGTGAGAGGTTTGGGTGTGTGGATGTGTCGCTAATACCGTTCTATAGCTGGTTCTATGCTTTGGAGACATTCGCCAACTTCGGCATGGTGGAGGAGTGCCCCAAGTTGGTGGCATGGGCCAAGCGGTGCATGCAGAGGGAGAGCGTGGCCAAACTTCTGCTTGGGACACTCTGCTTCGATGTTGAAGTTCCCAAACGTCTCGTAGTAGTAGAACCAGCAGTAGAAGCTGAGCGATATGGTTGCTCAAAGATAACCATAACTCGATTTGATATTGAAACATATACATTAATATATATATTTGATAAAAAGTCCTTTGGTTAAAGGATTGGAGTTTCCATAATCCATCGAGAAGATATATACAACTCCAACAAAGAGCTAACTTAGAAGTTCAACATAGTGATATGCAACTCATACCAAAAAATTCCCACTATCAAATTGTATTCCTGATAACAATAATGCTCTTATCGTACTTACGACTCGCTGAAAAACTTGAAAAGTAAGTAAGATGAATGGAATGATCAATCACAGTTCAGTGAGTAATACATCTCTTCTAAGCAGATCGAACATTCACTATGTATCTTCATAAACTAATATCACAAATCACCAATTCTAAATCCATAATAAAATATATGCAAAATATCAAAAGTGAATGATATCTTTTCATCAAAACTTTTTACATATATGATCAATCAACAATCTCAAATTCAATGGTCTATTCTAAATATAGTCACGCTTAATAACCTTGTCAAAGGCAATCAAGTTTACCCCCTTGATTAGGTCTCTACCTATATCTGGTTTGACCCAGAAGGACATCTTGATAACAATATGCATACTTACCCTCTCAATGGGTTCTAATCATAACGATATGAGCATAATCCCCAATATCATTCTCCAATACCCACAAAACAAATCCATAACTCATTCACAACCCGAATCATATAACCTTTCAATACATTTCATAAAGTATTTAACAAATCAATACGTATAGCTTTTGGGAATTCCCTTCACAAAGCAATTAATCAAAACATTCACAAATGATCGTTTCAAACTATTTCAAATAAGGCTTTCTAATGCCTTTTCAACCGACTAAAAATGTACTAAAAGTTCGATCAAATTTATGCAAGAAATATGCTCTTTCATAACTCATACTATATTAAATCTCTACCACTTTCAAGATATGATCTTGTAAATTCATGAAGAGATAGTACAATTCATCCGGAAAAGCCGAAAACCAACTTACAATGGTTACTCAAGCCGATGCACCCGCATTCCTATCAATTAATCAAAAAATGATATAAAAACCAAGTAATACACTACTCTAATGAATGACTCGACTAAACTATGCTTAATTGTCAATAAAACGAATTCCACACACTGACGAAGAAACTCGTTTATAACAAACGTTCAACTTTGCCCATTACGTGTATTGTCCATTACGCGTAACTCGCACATGAAACTTTAGAAATTCATTTCGATTAAATCGTACTTCAAAATCGATTTTCGTCAAATCCCACAGCTTCGCATTGCTCTAAACTATTATATATATATTATATATATCCATAACTCGACAACTCCTCCATCGAATTTCAGTTTAAAATTGACATAACTTCAGATTTACGACCTAACTTCAAAACTTACTTCGGTTATACGAATAATAGACTTGAATATTTACCCGGCATTGCAATTCGGAGTTGATTCGGGTTGTTGGGACATAGAAAATTTTCTCTCTTTTCCGCTTTTCCTCTCTTCACGGACGTGCTCTTTCTATTTAAATTTTTTTGTTTTGTCCGCCGCTCGCGTGAATCATCTAGAGGAGGAAAGAAAGATGGGCTGAGTTTGGCTTCTAGGAGACAAGGGCTTGTACTTGTTAGGCCCATCTATTACAATATATATTTCTCGTTCATGTGACACCTAAGCCATGATCTAATCAGCTCGGGCATGCAGACTAGACTTGGACAGTTGGACCTCACAGTGACGCACGCAATGACGATATTAAGCAGCCTCTCCCCACAGTGCAACGAACAAAAAGTCTCATCATCAACGTCCTCTTTCCCTCTATGTAAGTGGCACCCTGCGTTTAGCCTTATTTCACCACGAAAAGCATTCTTCAATTCTGTTCAAATTGCAAGAGCTTCAGCTTGTACTGACAATTCAATGGCGGAGGAAGTGATATTGTTGGACTTTTGGCCGAGCATGTTCGGGATGAGGGCCAGGATTGCCCTGAGAGAGAAGGGCGTGGAGTTTGATATGAGGGAGGAGGATCTGAGCAACAAGAGTCCCCTGCTCTTGAAGATGAACCCGGTCCACAAGAAAATCCCCGTCCTCATCCACGGCGGCAAGCCCGTTTGCGAGTCCCTCATCATCGTCCAGTACATCGATGAGACCTGGGGTCACGAGTCTCCTCTCCTGCCTTCAGATCCTTACGAGCGTGCCCGTGCTAGGTTCTGGGCCGACTACGTGGACAAGAAGGTGAGACAACAACGCCTTAAATATTTCGAACATTTCCTTAATAAGTATGCTTAACATCAAGGCATGAAATGACTATGCAGATATATCTGGCGCTGCGAACGTTGCGGCCATCGACGGGGGAGGCCCAAGAGGCGGCGAAGAAGGAGTACATTGAGAGCTTGAAGGTGATGGAGGGAGAGCTCGGGGACAAGGCTTACTTTGGTGGTGAGAGGTTCGGGTATGTGGATGTGTCGCTGATACCGTTCTATAGCTGGTTTTATGGTTTGGAGGTATTGGCCAACTTCAGCATCAAGGAGGAGTGCCCCAAGTTAGTGGCGTGGGCCGAGCGTTGCATGCAGAGGGAGAGCGTGGCCAAGTCGTTGCCCGACCAGTACAAGCTCTATGAATACCTCTTGGAGCGCACGAAGAAGCTTCAGGCACAATAAAAAACTCTATGAATCTGACTATTGATCATCTCATCGCTCTTTCGTTCAATAACCCCTCTCCTATGGAAGAGGCTAGCTCTTTTGGTACTTCTACGATTTCCTCTTTGTACTTCACAGTGCTTCTGGATCAGCTAAATAACTATATACACCATCTCACGGTACGGTACCGTTTAGTATTATGTTCTACATTATTTGCGCCGTGTACGTCAAATGAGCAATGGAAATTGATCAATCCGGTCGTCAATTACACGTAGTGTTGCGAGAGAATTTCTCATCTTTCAAAATGTTTTTGATGACAAATCCTCTCAAAGAAAACAAATCTATTTAGCACACGTTGAGCATTCACTCGACAAAATGAATTTCACTCAAGTTACCAAGCCGCCTCCCATGGCTGGCTAAAAATATGCCGTGGTTCTTTATTTCTCTCTCACACGTGCGAGCATAGACACACACAATATATTTAAGACACATACAATGAATTTCTATGAGGAAATTTAAAGTGAAGCGAACACTGGAGGAGGTCTAAATGATGATGAAAATGCATTTGAGGTGCTATGTGCTCGAGTAGGTGCGTATGCGAGCGTTGTACCAGTATAATTGTTTGGGATGGATGACTGCTGCTGGCAAAATCTTGTAACTGCTATATGTCAGTTGGACAATAGATTTACCTAGGCATCGTGAAAGTGTTTCTCGATGCACTACCAAGCGATTTAGGGGAGAATGTTTCTTGTTTGGTGGTATTTTTCTTGAAATTATTTGGTACTATTGCTATTTTTCTATGATAGACACTTCGCAAAACTTTGTTTCCGATTTAATTGGTCAATCGAGTGACTTTTCTTATAAGAATGAATAATTTTTAAATCCCCTGTTCTCTAGTTAGCATTTTTGTTTTCGTGTAGTGTTTCTTAGGTATCTTTGAAGAACTTTTCCTTCCGGTTTACATTTTCAATGAAAATAGGACATTGCTTGGAAAAAGAGCATTCAGTGAATCGATGACGGGTTCTTGCCACTAAAAGATTTTTGAAAAGGAACTAGTTTTGCAGGACTCTGGAACAAGTCTTGAGTTAAATAACTGAAAGTGGATGCCATTCAGTTCCTAAGCACCTCATTGCACAGTCCTCTACAATTTTCTCCGCAAACTTACTGCTTACTGCTGAAGATATCAATGGGAAATGTATCGCCAAAATCGGCATATGGATGTTAAAGATAGTTTTAAGAGTTTATATGGGGATAGAGTCGAGTTCATCCTTGTGTCCATAGGATGATAGTATGTTCCGAGGCTTATCCGTTTCCAAAAATTTGGAAAATGTCAGCCACAAAAAAAGTCAAGGACGAGCTGATTGTGTCTAGGTACATAAACAATGAGAAATGGAAAACGAAATATATTTGTCGTTCATGGGACACCTAAGTCAATACCTTATCAGCCCCGGGATGGAGCCCAGACTTGGACCTGAGAGTGACGCGAGCAATGACGACATTGAGCCGCCTCTCTCCTCCCGAGAAAATATCAGGTGATCCGGGACCGCCAAGTCAGCGTGATCCCAGACCGCTCATGAAGCGCCACGTGGTCCACGTGGCGCTTGCGGGACCGGCTCGGCCGGATGAAAATTTTGCACAAAAACAATTATATTTATTATTTCTCCTTAGCCCTGTATGCTAGCCCCTCTCTCTCTCTCTCTCCTTTGCACGCATTTAGTTCTTCTCTCTCTTCTTCTCCTTTGTTTTCGCATTGTAGAAGAAAACCCACTGCTCTTACCTCTCTTGCTTTCAAATTTATTTTGAATCTCTGCGATTTCGCTCTCAAATTTGGCTCGGCTTCCTTGTTGCTCCGGCGCTCCCTCCGTGGCGTTGTTGCTCCTCCGGCGATCTTTCGCTCTCTGCTCAGTGCCATACCGTCGAGAAAGGCGCCAGCCACAAGCAAGGTTCCCCTCTTCTCCTCTTCCCCCGCGCCTGGATTCTTCGTCGATCCATTTTGTTGTGTGCCCGCGTTGAGCGGTTTTGATTGGTCTTTTTCTTTTACTTTTCTCTTTGGTGGTGGTGGGTTCGGTACAAAATGGGGCCCTTCTGGTTTTTTTGCCACCATTGTTACTGCAAATGAAAGCAAACCCAAGCATGATGCTCTGTTCTGAAGGGGCTGCTAGTTAATTTGCTTCGTGCTCTCGTTTGAAGGTTTGAAGGGATGATGACTCCGAGCCAAGGGCAAGCGGCATTGCTGACATTCTGCTCCTGCATTAGCCTCACTAGCGTTGGCCTTGTTCTTACAAACTGTTCCGGACATTGGTAACAACTGGTTTTGGATCATTGCATTGAGGCCCTTAGCGTAAGTGAAGATTGTTTTTTCCTTGAAGAGTCCGATTTCTAGCGTTCCTCATTTCTGAAGAACAAAAATCATCTGTGAATATGTTGAACCCTTGATATGATATTTTGCAGTGGAGCACACTATTGGATGCGGGCATCGTGGAAGGAGCAAATTATGGTAAAGATGATAGTGGCGGAAGACGGACGCTATCGGAGATCGTTGAGCAGACGAGGAAGGAGCTTTAGCTCAGTGAGAAAGGAATGGTTTATGTAAAGGGCATATTTGAGAGATGACCAACACCCCAACACTTTTGATGGGGTGGTCATCCAACACTCGAAGCAATACTTACTGCAGGGGCATGCTATTACTAGGAAGCTTAATTCTGATGGTAAGGTGGATATAATGCAGACTCTGCACAACCTAAATGAAGGTATTGAATTTTCTTGTTTGTTAAATGCCAGATTCCCAAAAATGGTTCATTCATATAGCTCATGACGATCTAGATGAGCTGCCTCAATTTGAACAAGCTTGGAAGAAAAATGCTAGAAAGCATTTGCCTGGTTGGAGCGAGCATTTTGATGGCCATGTTGGACGGGGTGAGTATTGCTGCGAAATTTTTTTTTTTCCGGCTGCATCTTTTGTGTTTATGACAAGCAAAGCATGAATGTTTCAATTTCTTACTACTGTTAGAGATAGGCTGCTGAATTCTGTGGTGAATTTGTTTTGCTGTTAAAGGCCTTAGCGTAACAATCTCAACATTTTGGTTGAACGTTTCATCACTTGTCTTGTGAGGGTGGTGTTCTTATTTCTAATATGCGCCTTTTGTTGGTGCCAGCCACAGTCAAGCATCGCCTTTGGCGGACAAGGATCATGAAGAGAGGGCAAAAAGATGTGAATTTGTGTGAGCTATAATGATCCACCGTCATCGACAATAATTTATGAGTAGGTGCAGAATGGCGGGTGATCTGGAGCTTACGTGACCGAGAATCCGCCCCTACAATCTTTATGGTTGGCCTGGGGTGAATGTGTTGTTTGCTGATGTATTAAAATAGGAAGCAAGGGAATAAGGTTTATAAGCTAAAATGTAATTCTTTGCTTGTCGACTTCGGTTTTGACCTGAGGAAACAATGCTGTGCATAGCTCCTGTGTGATGCTTGGACCTCTCAAAAGTAACGATATTGAAGAACTTTTCTTTACATCTATGTACCGTGTATTATTCATAAACGTATCAAAGCACTATCGAAAAAGCAACGAATATTGAGTGAGAATCGCCAAATTTTACTGTAGTTAGGACTTGGAAGTAATAGGAATGGAGTTGGGGTAGGATTTTCACGGCACCAGGCATCGCATCCAGGCATTGTTATATTCATTGAAGTGGAAAGATATCATCAGTCAATGCTAGTCTCGCTTGATGATATCTTCCTCTGTTTCCAATGACCAAAATAAGACCAAATCACAGTGTATAGGAACGAGAACATTCCATGCCACATTTAAACTTCTGACTAGGTTCGAGTTCGAATTTACTCTCTGAGAAGTGAGTTAGCCACTCCTATGCAATTGAATTAGATGGACAAGAGAGAGAAGAACCGCCTGGGAAGAAAAAGGAAGTACTATTTAGTTTGATTAACCCACCTCTTCCAAAAATAGGACCCCTTCAACTGAAAAATAAATATCATCGATGTAATCACAGAAAAATGGATCCTCTTGGAACCACGAACAGTTATCAGTATGGACAAAAATCCCCTTACTTCTCATCTAAATCCCCCCAAAAAGAAGGATGGACGTGCAAAAAATGGCAGCCCACGTTTATCAATTCATAAAGACCTAAGCTTAACCAACGCAATGGTAGTCTTGTGTACATTATGTTTTGGGTTACATCTCTAACGAAAACATCAAAACATGTTGAGCAAACTCCTCTCATCAGAATTGTCTGTCCAGTTGCCATTTTGTCTATGCGGGAATAAAAGGATCGCAGAGGGATCGTGTAGACCTCGCTCCTCCTGTGCTCAAGGCCACAAGCAGCCAATACAGTATGAGTGGAACACCTCGCTATTTCCTTAAACTCACCATGACCTGCATCAACGATTATATCGATAAGTTCACAGGCAAGGCACCTTGCGCACCAGGGAAAAAACAAATGCAATAAGCACTTGAAAGAAAGCATCATAAAGAGAACGAGCACGGGATTCTAGAGCATAAAAATGTATAATAATATGACCAAAAATCTAGTAGAACATATATATAACTCGCATACCTAAATCAATTTCTCTCAAAAGGCTTTTCAAATGGCTTTTGACCATTGATTGCAATTCGTCTTTTGCTCTACGAAAATGGCTATCTTCACTTCCTGCATAAGGAGATGCAGCCCCATCAGAACCGAGGCTGGATCGGCTGCTGGACTGATGATGCTGGTCAGGAACTATAGTTGAGCTCATCGCTACACATTTGTCCAGAAGTGCCCGGCCAGAACTACTGGGAGTTCTTCTGGACCACCATCTCAAGCACTATGAGAAATTTCACCACTGTCTAACACCTGCAAGTCGCCAGACCACCGTCCACCCTCGATTATGAATCCAGAATGATGCGTAACATACAAAATGGAATACCAGTAAAGTGCAGTCAAGTATCGTAAAAAATCAGTATTCAAGAGTCCCCGGTTCATGAGGAGGCACCGGACAGGACTCAAAAAGGATAAAAAAAGCATATTGAACCATGGCGGCAAAAAACGTTAGTGAAAGATCATTAAGCGAACCCGATCACCACGCATTCGAAGCGACTCAAAATCGGACCTTGGTTCAAACATTCTGTCAAACACATGGTGCACAGTGGACGTTCGAGCAATTAAAAACTTGAACGCACACCAAGACTGGAAAGAGATCATCAAAACACACTTGTCCAGCGACATACAGCCATAACAAGTTCAAATTCAATCCACTCAGAATTAAAATTTTCCATCTTAAAAGGATTGAAGAGACCATCAAGGCGTGGAGTTCGATATGAGGGAGGAGGATCTGAGCAACAAGAGCCCCCTGCTCTTGAAGATGAACTCGACACACAATCAAATCCCCGTCCTAATCCACGACGGCAAGCCCGTTTGCGAGTCCCTCATCATAATCCAGTACACTGACGAGACCTAAGGTCGCGAGTCTCCTCTCTTGCCATCGGATCCTTACGAGCGTGCCCATGCCAGGTTCTGGGTCGACTACGTGGAGAAAACGGTAAGATTTTTAGCGAGGCCTTAAATCTTTCCGACATTTCCTTATGAAGTGCGCTTAATATCAAGACACCAAATGACGGTCCAGATATTTCTGGGGGCGCGAATGGTGTGGCTGTCGACAGGGGAGGCCCAGGAGGCGGCGAAGAAGGAGTATGTCGAGTGCTTGAAGGTGTTGGAGGGAAAGCTCGGGGACAAGGCTTACTTTGGCGGCGAGAGGTTCGGGTACGTGGATGTGTCGCTGATACCATTCTATAGCTGGGTCTATGGTTTGGAGACATTGGCCAACTTTAGCATCGTGGAGGGGTGCCCCAAGTTGGTGACATGGGCCGGGCGTTGCATGCAGAGGGAGAGCGTGGCCAAGTCGTTGCCCGACCAGTCCAAGCTCTATCACTTCTTCTTGGCGGTCAAGAAAAAGCTTTAGGCGCCATGACAAACAAGCCTATGAGTTTGATCGTTGCTCATTTCATCACTCTTTCGTTAATGACCCCTCTCTTTGGATGAGGCTAGCTCTTCTGTACTTACTATGATTTCCTCTTTGTACTTTAGTGTTGCTGGATCAGCTATATAACTAATACACATCATCTCACGAATTCCGTTTGATTATGTTTTGCGTTATTTGCACCATGCACGTCAATTAAGCAAGGAAAATCGTTCAATTCCGTTGTCAATTACATGTAGTAGTCTCACGAGAGAATATCTCCTCTTTCAAAATATTTTCAATAACAAATCCTCCAGAAGACAACAAATATATTTAGTATGCGTTGAGCGTTCACTCGATGAATGAATTTCACTTGGCTTACTAAGCCGCCTCCACGTGGATTGCTAAAAATATGGCATGCTTCCTTATTTCTCTCTTGCGCCGCGCCTGCACAGGACACCCACGACATATTTGAGACACATACAATGAATGTCAGTTGGACTCTTATCACATGGACGTCCTCTATGAATAAATTTAAAGCAAAGCCAACACTGGTGGAGGTCTACATCATGATGATGACGATGATGATGATGATTAAGATGCCGAGGAATTTGCATTGAAACTTGAAGAATCTCTTTCTTCTTCGAGGATCGTCACCGAAACACTCGTCAATGGGCGGTTTGTTACTTGGCCATCTAATTACGACTCCCCAACAACGCAGAGTTAAAACTTTGTGTAATGAACCAGTTGAAGACAAACAACGAGAGCATATGATTATAAACTCGGAGGCCTCGGGATCCAGAGAAGCTTGAGAAACAGAGGAAGGCCGAATTGAGACGGAAGATGTTGCTGGCAAACCTGTAATGTACCCATGACCTTGACCAGAACCTTCCCTTCCACTAAAATAACTACCTCAGCAGGACATGAACTAGTATGCCTTACTTCCGGGCGACAGATTCACCTGGTAGTCCAACATGAAGACAAGAAAACAGGGTCTAGCGAAAGAGGAAGCAAAGTCCTCTACTCTACGCCCATCGCCTCGTTCAGCTCCAAGACCACGCCATCCACCTTTCAAGGGTCGGGGAGAGATTTGGACACACTCTCCTTCTCCATGCACCTCTTGCCCCATGCAACGAGCTCGGGATACGCTGCTTTGATGCTGAAGTTCCCAAACGTTTCGTAGGAGTAGAACCAGCGGTAGAAGCCGATGAACGAGATGTCCAAGAAGCCGAACTTCTTGCCCCTGAAGAAAGGCTCGTCTCCGAGCTCACTTTCTATTAGTTTCCGGCTTTAAATGAATTCCTTCTTTGCCGCCCCCTGTTCTTCCCCTTTTGTCACCCACACCTTCTTCCCGAGATCATAGAACTGCAAAATTGTAGATAATTATAATTTATTTCCTCACGGCGCCAGAGCGGGAAGAATCATCAGAATCATCACAAGTTGACTATTAGTATTAGCACTTCCTGCTTACATATTCATGCAACATCATCAATATCCATCATGTGTGGAATTAATTACAAGAATTCGGCTGTCCTACCATTTCTAGTCAATGTAGAGAGCCATTTTGCTGACCCTTCATCTATGCAATTTCCCTACATATTAAATGAAAAGCCATACAAAGACTAAATGACGGTGTATGGCTGATGAAGATTTAAGCACCGAGCCATGGACAGCGAGATCAGATGATATTTTTTTGCATTCTGCACGAGATCTAAATCGCCAATATTGATTACTCAATCAGAACGCACGTAAATGTCCACAGATCGAAGAATCATTAAAAAATGTACACAGCGATAAAACAGAGGAACTAATACCTTATTGTCGATGTAATCAGCCCAGAATCTGGCTCGGGCTCGCTCGTAAGGATCGGACGGCAAGAGAGGGGCGTGCTGGCTCCAGGACTCATCGATGTACTCCACAATGATGAGGGACTCTCAAACAGGCTTGCCGTTGTGGACTGGGTTCATCTGAAGGAGGAGTTCTCTCTTGTTCCAAAAGTCCTCTTCCTTGGACTCATACTCGACCCCTTTCTCGGCCAGCGCTACTTGGCACCTCATACCGAACATGCTCGCCCAGGAGTCCAGCAGGGTCACTTCATCGGCAATTGCCTTCAAAGTCTTGCATGTAAGCCTCGACAATCGAAGCAGAGAACACAGACGTGTGAAGGAGTCAACAATAGTGACTGATACCGAACATGCTCGCCTAGGAGTCCGGGAGGGTCACTTCATCGGCAATTGCCTTCAAAGTCGTGCATTTAAGCCTTGACAATCGAAGCAGAGAACATAGACGTGTGAAGGAGCCAACAATAGTGACTTCTGAGCAACCCCACGACACAAGACAGCTGAGAAACATTTCTAAACAAACCAAGTATTGGTGCCTTCTTTCGCTTGGGGTAATTGTTTATCGGCCATGGCTGCATATACGACACGGCGTTCGTCTGCTTATTTCCAAGACTTTAGTTTTATCTTCGTTGAACGATAGGAAGTATTTTGTAGAAAATGAGAGGGATACCAAACCGGATGGTAATGGCTTTCCATTCGTGTGGATACCAAAGGGTTATTACTAAGGGGTGTTACTATACTAGACCATTTTTTTGACAGCTAGTGCAGGCAACCAGATAAGTCACGTTCAGTTGATACCTGCCTACGGGGACATCTGGTGTTCTTGTTGGTGAAGGAACCGTTAATCTGGAAAATAGAAGTTGAGTCAGATTGGACAAGATTTTGCGTTCTGGATATTTACGATGGTAGTGACGGAGAATTTGCACTTCTATTCAATATTCATCCTGTACAATAGGCTTTTTGACCGTAAACGGTCCTCATTTTGAGGATGCTTAAAATTTTTCCATTAAAATGTGGCCGGCCCCTACCTTGAGGATATTGTTCTGCTGACCTTTCCCATTCTGAGTAAATTGCCGGTCGACTCTCCCCTCTTGTGGAAGTAGTTTCTTTTTGTTACAGTACTGTAATACTAAGATGTTGCATTTGAGGTTCTATGTGCTCGTGTAGGTGCGTCTGCGAGCGTTGTTCCAGTATTATTGTTTGGGATGGATGACTATTCCTGGCAAAATCCCGTGATTAGTTATTGAGGCTGCTTTATGTTTATTACTAGATTTTGATTTTGGGAATAGGTGCTCTATAACTGCTACATGTCGGTTGGACAGCGGATTTTCCTGGACATCGTGAAAGTGTTTCTCGATGCACCACCGAGCGATTGCGAGGTATCCCCCTGAATATCATTAGATGGACAAGCAAACGGTCCATCTAGCAAAATATTACAGTTTTCATTCTTGCAGTAGAGTTTTGGGGGAGAGACTAAATGCCCTTTTTTTGTACTATTGCTGTTTTTCTATGATACACACTTCACAATACTTTGTTTTTGATTCAATTGATCAATTGAGTAACTATTCTTATAAGAATAAATTAGTTTTTAAATCCCCTGTTCTCTAGTTAGCATTTTTGTTTTAAAGTGGTGTTTCTTAGGTACTTTTGAAGAACTTTTCCTTCCGGTTTACATTTTCAATTAAAACGGGACATAGCTTGGAATAAAGGGGCATTTAGTGAATCGATGACGGGTTCTTACCACTGAAAGGTTTTTGAAAAGGAACTAGTTTTGCAGGATTCTGGAGCAAGTTTTGAGTTAAATGACCGAAAGTGGATGCCATTCATATCCTAAGCACCTCATTGCACAGTCCTTCGCAATTCTCCAAAAACTTACTACTACTTACTGCTGAAGATATCAATGAGAAATGTACCGTCAGAATCGACATACGGATGTTAAAAACGGTTAGAAGAGTTTATATGGGGATAGAGTCGAGTTCATGGTTGTGTCCGTAAGATGATAATACGCTATGAGGCTTATATGTTCCCAAAAATTTGGAAAATGTCAGCTTCAAAGAAATCAAGGACCAGCTGATTGTATCTTAGTACATAAATAATTGAGAAATGGAAAATGAAGAAGTCGAGAGGAACTGGAAGCACTGGAAAGAAGGAAGCAACTACCAGTCTAAGCTACTAATAATAATAATAATAAAAATATATGTATATATTTCTCGTTCATGGGGCACCTAAGCCATGACCTAATCGGCTCGTGCATGGAGACTAGACTTGGACTTGAGAGTGGCGCGAGGAATGACAGCATCAAGCGGCCTCTCCGACAGTGCAACGAACTGAAAGCCCCATCATCAATGTTCTCTTTCCCTCTATATAAGCGGCACCCTGCGTTTAGCCTGATTTCAGCACGGAAAGCGTTCTTCAGTTCAAATTACAAAAGCTTGAGCTTGTACTGACAATTCAATGGCGGAGGAAGTGATATTGTTGGACTTTTGGCCGAGCCTATTCGGGATGAGGGCCAGGATTGCCCTGAGAGAGAAGGGCGTGGAGTTCGAATGGAGGGAGGAGGATCTGAGCAACAAGAGCTTCCAACTCTTGAAGATGAACCCGTTACACAATCAAATCCCTGTCCTCATCCACAATGGCAAGCCGGTTTGTGAGTCCCTCATCATGGTCCAGTACATCAACGAGACCTGGGGTCGTGAGTCTATTGAAGATATCACCGCCTTATCTCTCTAGATCTTTCTTGATTATTCTTGACCTTTCGTATTTCAATGACTAGTTAATGTGATTGTTTGTATTTGGTCTTGACCTTTCGTGTTTCGATATCTAGTTAATATCAGATAAATATATAGTCATTTATGAGTCATATCAAGAGTCATGTATTATGCCTATATAAAGGCAAGTCTAGTCGAAGTATTTGTAAAGTAAATTAAGTCATAATAAAATAGTTTATTCCTCTCCTCTCCTTGAGTGTTTTTCCTTGAGAGTTACCAATTAAAGTCGTTCACCTTCAAGAGTTGCCGACGATAGTTACCGATGATCGAGGCTTTCACTTTCAAGTGTTACGCCTCTACAGCTCAACAGAGTCTCGTCTCCTGCCTTCGGATCCTTATGAGCGTGCCTGTGCCAGGTTCTGGGCCGACTATGTGGACAAGAAGGTAAGATAACAACGCCTTAATCTCTTGAACATTTCCTTATTTAGTGCGCTTAACATCAAGACATGAAATGATGGTGCAAATGTAGTCGGTGGGGCGAAGGGTGTGGCTGTCGACGGGGGAGGCGCAGGAGGCGGCGAAGAAGGACATCGAGTGCTTGAAGGTGTTTGAGGGAGAGCTCGGGGACAAGGCTTGCTTTGGCGGTGAGAGGTTTGGGTGTGTGGATGTGTCGCTAATACCATTCTATAGCTGGTTCTATGCTTTGGAGACATTCGCCAACTTCGGCATGGTGGAGGAGTGCCCCAAGTTGGTGGCATGGGCCAAGCGGTGCATGCAGAGGGAGAGCGTGGCCAAGTCGTTGCCTGACCAATACAAGCTCTATGAATTCCTCTTGGAGCTCAAGAAGAAGCTTCAGGCGCAATAAACAACTCTCTGAGCCTGATCATTGCTCATTTCACTACTCTTTCGTTTAATAACCCCTCTCCTATGGACGAGGCTAGATTCTGAAATGTTCTGAGTAATGCCTTGTGAAATGTATCATGGTTGATAAATGGAGTTGAGAAAAAATCATGTGTTTTGTTTTGTGAAATCAATTGGTGATATTGATTATGGATTTGATTTCTGGTATTGGATGATGTGGGTTTGGTGCTCAATATCGCTATGAACCCGATTGAGGTTTGTGTGTATGTGCATGCTAGGTTAGAATATTCTTTTGGACCGAGCCACCGACAATATAGGTGGAAACCTACCTAAATGGCGAATCTTGGTTGCTTTGTCATGGGGCATTACGCGTGATCATGGTTAGATATTTGAACGCAAGTTTGATCAATGGAGTGCCATTGACATGTGATTTGATTTTGCTCAATGGAGTGGACCATTGACATGTGATTGAGATTAGTCGATGGAATGGACCATCGACGTGTGGTTTGAAGAGATTAATCAATGGAATAGACCATTGATATATGAGTTGTTGAGATTGATCAATGGACTTTGTTTTGATATTATTGATGAAAATGTTATGTTGAACTAATATATAACTCATTTTGATCTTGTAAGTTTGTTATATTCTAGATTTGGTATATACGAGCTGTGGTTGTTCACCTCATTCCTTCCAATCTTTTTAAGGTTCTTCAGCTAGCGATGAGTATTAGGAGAGCCTTATCGACGAGGGCACTTTTGGGAGTTGGATTTTGAGTGGTTTGATGCTGCATCCTTTAGGTGGAAGAACGACCATGTCATCCCCATTCGTGATGGCTTTAGGGTGTGACATCTTTTGCCCTGCGACAAGATCTTAGGACACTCCGCTTTGATGCTGAAGTTCCCAAACGTCTCATAGGAGTACAGCCAGCAGTAGAAGCCGATGAGTGATATGTCCAAGAAGCCGAACTTCTTGCCCCCGAAGAAAGGCTCGTCTCAGAGCTCGCTTTCTATCAGTTTCAGGCTTTCAATGAATTCCTTCTTTTGCCGCCTCCTGTTCTTCCCCTTTCGTCATCCACACCTTCTTCCGGAGATCATAGAACTGCAAAGTTGTAGATAATAATAGGTTATTCCTCACGGCACCGGATCAGAAAGAATCATTAGAATCATCACAAGCTGACTGTTAGCATTAGCACTTCCTGCTTCCATATTGTTCGTGCAACATCATCAACTTCCATCATGTGTGGAATTAATTACAAGAATTCGGCTGTCCAACCATTTGTAGTCAATGTAGAGAGCCATTTTGCTTACAGTTCGTATTTGTAATTTCACTGCATATTAAATGAAAAGCCATACAAAGGCTAAATGATGGTGAATTGATGATGACAATTTAAGCACGGAGCCATATGCGAGATCAGATGATCTTTTTCGGCATTCGGCATGAGATTTAAATAGCTAATATCGATTGCTCCATCAGAAATCACGTAAATGTCCACATATCGAAGAATCATTAACAGATGTACATGACGACAAAACAGAGGAGCTAATACCTTCTTGTGGACGTAATCAGTCCAGAATCAAGCTCGGGCTCGCTCGTAAGGATCGGACGACAAGAGAGGGGCATGTTGTCTCCAGGACTCATCGATGTACTCCACAATGATGAGGGACTCGCAGTCAGGCTTGCCGTTGTGGATTAGGACGGGTATTTTCTTGTGGACCTGGTTCATCTGAAGGTGGAGCTCGCTCTTGTTCCACAAGTTCTCTTCTTTGTACTCGACCCCCATCTCAGCCAGCGCTACTTGACACCACATCCCGAACATGCTCGCCTAGGAGTCCAGGAGGGTCACTTCATCGGCCATTGCCGTCAAAATCGTGCTTGTGACCCTTGAGAATCGAAGCAGAGAATATAGACGTGTTAAAGAGTCAACAATCTTGACTGTCGAGCAACCACTCGACACAAGAGAGATGAGTAATATTTGTAAACAAACCAAGTATTGACGCCCTCTTTCGTTTGTCAGCTTATTTCCAAGACTTTAGTTTTATCTTCGTGGAACTATAGGAAGTATTTTGTGCAAATAATGACTGGTCCATCACATTTTCGGAAAATACTAGTTTCTTACTAAATTAAATATCTGTGATCTAATTCTGAAACAATTTCCTCACTTCTTGATGGCATAGAATGCATTGGCTATACAAGATACTTTTTTAGCTAGCTAACGTGAAAATACAAACACACTCGAATTTTGGCAAAAGGACACTACAAGTGCCATAAGTTGTGTACGGATGACATTTTGGTGCCATAACTTTTTTTCGGAACATTTTGGTGCCAAGTCGGAGGAAAAGAGATCACTTAAGTGCCAATTTGGCCGGAAATCCGATGTGGCATTTTTTAATAATTTTTGACGCCGACGTGGCTCGCCGGAGGATGAGTCAGTGTGTACAGTCAGCATTTTTTATTTTAAATAATTTTTTTCCCTTTTTTTTTCCTCTTCTTTCCTTTTTCCTTTCTTTTCTCCCCTCGCCGGCCGGTTGCCGGTGGCCGACCCGGCCACCGGCGAAGCCCGGGAAGGGCTGGGCGAGGGTGGCCTTGCCCATGGCCGGCGAGGCGGCCTCGCCAGATCCGGGCGAGCGACCTTCGCCGGCGACAGCGAGGCCGCCCTCGCCGGCCATGGGCGAGGCCGCCCTCGCCGGCGACCGGCGAGGCCGCCTCGCCCATGGCCGGTGAGGGACGGCCTCGCCAAACTGGGCAAGGCGACCCTCGCCGGCGACAGGCGAGGCCGCCCCTCGCCGGCCATGGGCGAGGGGCGGCCTTGCCAGATCTGGGCGAGGTGACCCTCGCCGGCGACGAGCGAGGCCGCCCTCGCCAGCCATGGGCGAGGGCGGCCTCGCCCGATTTGGGCGAGGCGACCCTTGCCGGCGACGGCGAGGGGCGGCCTCGCCGACCATGGGCGAGGGCGGCCTCGCCGTCACCGGCGAGGTCACCTCGCCCGGATCTCGGCGAGGCCGCCCTCGCCCATGGTAGGCGAGGCCGCCCTCGCCGTCGCCGGCGAGGGTCGCCGCCCGGATCTAGCGAGGCCGCCCCTCGCCCATGGCTGGGCAGAGGGCGGCCTCGCCTGTCGCCGGCGAGGGTCACCTCGCTCGGATCTGGCGAGGCACCCTCGCCGGCCATGGGCAAGGCCGCCCTCGCCCGGCCCTTCTCGGGCTCGGCCACCAGCAGCCGGCTGGCGAGGGGAGAAAAGAAAAAAAGAAAAGAAAGGAAAAAGGAAAGAAGAGGAAAAAAAAAAAGGAAAAAAATTATTTAAAATAAAAAATGCTGACTGTACACGCTGACTCATCCTCCGGCGAGCCACGTCGGCGTCAAAAATTAATAAAAAATGCCACATCGGATTTCCGGCCAAATTGGCACTTAAGTGATCTCTTTTCCTCCGACTTGGCACCAAAGTGTTCCGAAAAAAAGTTATGGCACCAAAGTGTCTTCCGTACACAACTTATGGCACTTGTAGTGTCCTTTTGCCCTCGAATTTTTATATCACTTAAACTTGTTCCTTTATCATCATGAATTTCAATCTTAATTTAACATGGATCATGTACTTTTGGTCACCAAGCCGATTTCTTTAAAAGAATAAATGGGTTACCAAATAATAGGGATATAAATACAGCCATGTAGAAAATGAGAGGGATACCAAACCGGATAGTAATGGGTTCCCATTCGTGTGGATACCAAAGGGTTATTATTAAGGGGTGTTACTATATTGGACCATTTTTTGATAGCAAGCGCAGGCAACCAGATAAGTCACATTCAGTTGATACCAGCCTACGGCGACATCTGTTGTTCTTGTTGGTGAAGGAACTGTAAATCTGGAAAATAGAAGCTGAGTTGGATTGGACAAAATTTTGCTTTCTGGATATTTGCGATGCTAGTGACGGAGAAGTTGCAGTTCTATTCAATATTCATCTTGTACAATAGGCTTTTTGACCGTAGACGGTCCTCATTTTGTGGATGCTTAACAATATTTTCATTAAAATGTGGCCGGCCCCTCCCTTGAGGATATTGTTCTGCTGACCTTTCCCATCCTGAGTAAATTGTTGGTCGACTCGCCCCTCTTGTGGAAGTAGTTTCTTTTTGTTACAGTACAGTTATACTAAGATGTTGCATTTGAGGTTCTATGTGCTCGTGTAGGTGCATCCGCGAGCGTTGTACCAGTATTATTGTTTGGGATGGATGACTATTGCTGGCAAAACCCTGTGATTAGTTATTGAGGCTGCTTTATGTTTATTACAGTTTTCTTTTTTGCAAGGTAGAGTTTTGGGGGAGACTGTTCCTTGTTTGTAGGTATTTTTCTTGACCTTATTTTGTACTATTGCTGTTTTTCTATGATATACACTTCACAAGACTTTGTTTTCGATTTAACTGGTCAATCGAGTGACTTTTCTTATAAGAATGAGTAATTTTTTAAATCTCCTGTTCTCTAGTTAGCATTTTTGTTTTCATGTGGTGTTTCTTCGGAATTTTCAGAGAACTTTTCCTTCCAGTTTACTTTTTCAATGAAAACAGGACTTTGCTTGGAAAAGGGGCATTTGGTAATCGATGATGGGTTCTTGCCACTGAGTTTTTTGAAATGGAACTAGTTTTGCAGGATTCTGGAACAAGTCTCTTGCAATTTTCTGAAAGTGGATGCCATTCAGTTCCGAAGACCTCGTTGTCTAGTCTCTCGCAATTTTCTCGGAAAATTTCCTGCTTACTGCTGAAGATATCAGTGGGAAATTTATAACCATAATTAACATGGATGTTAAAGACAGTTAAAAGAGTTTATACAGGGATAGAGTCGAGTTCATGCTTGTGTCCATAGTATGATTACATGTTCTGGGGGAGGCTTATATGTTTCCAAAAATTTGGATAAATGTCAGCTACGAAGAAATAAAAAACTCTCCGATGCAAGAAAAGTCGTATCAATTCCAATTCAAGAACCAATGGTTGCTATGAAGAAACATTGCATTTCCCGATGAGGTGACGAGATGTTCTCTTCCGGAAGGATGACGAACTGGCATGAGAGTT